AGAAATGATCACTCTCATTTGATTAGGCAAGTTTCTGTTTCTTTTACCTTGAGAAAAACAAGTGTTTGTTACCCAAGCCACATTACAACCCTTAAAACCCTTGTAGTTTTTGCTTTTATGCTATTCAATATGAGTTTTTTTTGTTGATGAGTGCATAATTTAACTTGTTGTTAGCTTGAGTGTTGGGTGAGAGTTAAGCCCCTCGTGTTTTTTTATTCATCTATCGATGAAGTGTGTTCTAGGTGTAATTCATTTTTGAACATTGTATTGCCTTAGAATTTTTGACATGTGTTTTGTATTTAAGAGTTGTTTCGTTTTCATGTTATCGTTGTAGTTTAGTGGTATGTTTTGTTTTTCATGTATGTTTTTGTGTTGAACCATACATTTGTTTTTGTTTTTTGAAATTTGTTGAGTCGTGATTGCTTGATTGTTACTTTTGTTTCCTTGAGTTGATCGATTCTTGTTTTCTTGAGTTGTAGTTTAGGCATTTATGATCACCATGATATTCTCTGATGATGACCTTCAACTTGAAGATATCTTAAGCCTCATCTCTAATAAGATTAAAGTAAAGTGCTTATATGATTGGTGTATTTGGCAAAAGACTTAAAACTCTAGAGTGTGAAAGAGAGGGAGTGTAAAAGCTTGCTTGATCTATCTATGTAATTAGCATTTTGTAAAAATGTAAGAGATTTTTCATAAAGTAGTATGGATAAGTCACACACTCACTAAAATTATTTCTAAAGTATTTATTTCTCAAAGAAAATAACCTAAAAACGTTTTAGAGCCTAGCCATATGACCTAGAAAAATGTAAGAATGATTAGAACATGTTTTTCGAAGTATCCAATCGATTGGACCATATAACCAAACGATTGGATAAGGACAATATGAATCTATAATTGATTATGATAATGTATTAATGAAAGGTAACAACTCACTATCAAATCTTTTCAAAATGGAAAAAAATAATTGATTATTTAGGTCATCCAATTGATTGGAATAAAGATCAAATTAATTGGACAACTAATTTTACTCGTGGATAGTTTCCTTTTTAAACAAACCTTTGGCTTATAAATAGAGGTTTGTCCCCTATTTATTTCACATAAAAAATGATATTTATCACCTTTCTCACTCTATCTTTCTCTCTAAAATATTTCCATCTTCTCTCAAATAAATTTAGCGACAGTGCTTTGAGAAAGGTTCTTGTGGTTAAAAGAGAAAATTGTTCTAGAAAAGGTAATTTTGTAAGCTCACCAAGAGTTATTTTTCCTCTTAACCTAATCTCTCTTCCTTGGGAAGTTTTTTTTTTTGGTTCAAATATAAACCCGTTAAAATCTTTGGTTGGAGGATTTAGTATTAAGTATTTGTTTAGTCTGTGACTTAAGCCACTTAAGGAAAAGCTCTCTTTATGGGTTCTTAAAGATAACTAGTGAAAAATATTCTCGTCGGTTCTTGAGCTCAACCTGATATAAAAGCTCAGTTGGTTCGAGATAAGTATGTAAGAAACCTTGGTTCAGTTCCTGGTCATCGTGTGGAAAACCTCAGTTAAGTTCGTGTCTAGTTCATGGTCAGCCTGTGTAAAACCTCGGTTTGGTTCAAAGGGTATCCAATTCAAAACTCCACATTGGTTCGAGATAATTTTGTATAAAATCTAGATTTATCTTGGGGAATAATCAATCAAAGCTTCGTTCGTGTTTGGAAAGAGGACTAACCACTTAATTCCATTATTCACTATTTGGTTGGAAGTTAGTCAAAACTTCAGTTTTCCCTATATAAGGGGGTTCATGAGCTTAACTTGCTAAAAACTCATAAGTATTATTGGATACTTTCAAGATTAATTATTACTGAACCTTTATAGAACTATGGTGTCATATATTTTCCATTATCTCTTTACTTTCAGCATATTATAGTTACTCTGATTTTCCACTGCTATATTCAAAATTTCTTGAAAATGTTTTTAAACCCCCACAAATCTCCCTCCTTCTTGTGTGTGGAGAAGCATGTTCGACAAACTTTTCTTTTCCTACTCATGTTTTTAAATTGAAAAAAGGCTTTATACGACCTGAAACAAGCTCTTATAGCTTGGTATGATCGTTTGAGTAAGTTTATACTTGAAAATAAATTTTAAATAGGGAAGGTTGACAAATCTCTTTTTGTCAAGAAATCTAAGAATGTCATCTTATTATTTCATATTTATGTAGATGCAGGCCCGGGTCACGCCTAAGGTGGGTGAGGCTATCCCCTTAGGCCTCAAATTTTCAGACCTTTAAAATAGGTTTCAAATGTAAAAAAATAAGGCCTCAACTTTTATATAATAAATAAAAGAACGTTTTATAAAATATAATAGGAAATGTAATGGTTTAGTGGAGAAAGATATAGACAATTGTGTTTTGATACGTGGTTAGAATCCTGATGTGCGTATTTTTATAACACCAATTCTAAAGAAATACATAGGAGAGAAAATTGTGATTGCATATTTCATTAAAACAAATTCTTTAATTATTAAACAACAAAGTTATAAAAAATATATATAAAATCAAGTTTCGCCTTAGGCCTCTGAACATGTTGGACCGACCTTGTATAAATGATATCATTTTTGGTGCTACCATTGAATCCTTCTATAAGGAATGAGTTTGAGATGCCAATGATAAGGGAGCTTTGATAACTCCCTGGCCTTCAAATTCATTAGTCTAAAGAAGGCACATCCATTAATCAAGCAAGTAGTGCAAAGAATTACTCAAAAGATCCAGCTTGGACAAAGCAAAAGCTCTATTCATTATAATGAGTACTTCTTGCAACTTGGATAAGGACGAGGGAGGAAAACAATCAAAGAAAGTTGGTATCCAGGAATCATCAAATTTCTCCTTTACCTCACTGCATCTCGTCCTGATATAATGTTTCTTATATGTCTTTGTGTTTGTTTTCAAGAAAGCCCTAAAGAATCACATTTCATTGTTGTAAATTCACTATGTGATATCTCAATGGCACACTATTAATGAGTTTATGGTACCCTTAAAGGAATATATTGTGCCTTATTTGGATACCCTGACTCTGATTTTGCTAGGTGCAAATTGGATTGGAAAAGAATTAGTGGTATGTGGCACTTACTTCTTCACTCGTTTGTCTCATAGCATAGCAAGAAAAAAGCAAGTGTAGCGCAACCCACATCTAAGGCGAAATATGTTATTGCAGGTAGCTGTTGTGCATAATTCATCTAGATGACACATCAACTAAGTGATTCTGGTGTTAATCACGAAGCTATCTCGATAAAATGTGATAACACTAGAACAATAATCCTCACAAAAAATTGAGTACTTCACTCTCAAAACAAACACATTGATGTTAGGCATCATTTTATAAGAGATCATGTTGAAAAAGTGAATTGCATAACTGAGCACGTATCTTCACTTAATCAACTCGCAATTTTTTTTACTTAGTCTCTTCCTAAATTAAGTTTCTTTTTTTTTTATAAGAACTGAATTAAGAATAATGAATTAATCATGCATGAGCTACATTATTTATGTGCTTGTTTTATGTTATTTTCCGCCTTTCTGATTATGCCAAATGGAGGTGAGTATACTCTCAAGAGGAGTATGATATATTCTCTAAAAAATTTCAGGGGGAGTTTAACCACTCCAATCCTGTATATTTATTCCCTTGTTTACCCACTTTTATGATATGGAGCTATGTTCTTGCATGTACGTTCATCTGCAGACAATCTTAATAACATATAATCTTTGGTGGTTTTGTGCTGACAACATCTAATATTAAGAGACATTTAATGTAGTCCTTGAGGATCTTTGATCAAGCAACTTTTGGCGATGATGTCCATCAAATAAGTTATATCAATTCTCATCAGATATGAGTAAACTCCTAGATGAAATGCTGAATTAATGATGAATCAAGCAAGCGATATTGAAGTTTCAAGGTTGTGAAAGAGAGGAACTGTGTAGGCTCACCTAGTCATGTGCCTGAGTGATCAATTTATTGTAAAAGTATAAGAGTATCTTCTAAGATACTACGACAACTCTCACACAAACAAACAAATGATTTTAAAGTCTCTCTTATTTTATAAAATCACATGAAAATGATTTATGTATGTACTTAGTTGATTTTTAGCTTGGTTAAACCTTTAAGAGTGTTATTTACACTAGATAATCGATTAATACACTAAGATTAATCATTTTTTGACGTCCGCTAATAATTTAAGAGAGCTTATAAATAATAATGTTAATTAGAAGATAAAATTAAGATTAATCACTTTTATCATATATTAAAAATAATAAAAATAATGTTAATTAAAATATAAAATTAAAAAAATATGCATAAAAATTTGTAATGAATAATTTATTTTGAGACACACTTTTATTTTTTTATTTTTAAATAAGCCACGAGTAATACATTCGTTGAAGTATCATTTGAACATATATGATTGGACTTTCAAATTTTGGTGATAGTATTTTTATTGAGACCTTCTAGAATCTTCTGTTATTAGTTACGGTGTTTGTTTTTACCTTTTTATTAGTGGAGATTGTGTTTTTACATTTTGCATGTACTTTTCGTTTTGTTTTTTCAACTGTATTAGTATTTGGGTAAAATTTAGATATATATGCAACAGAAATGAAATCCTATTGGTCAGTTTTATAAAACGCAAGGTCGATAGCCAATGGCGCGGGAAAACTGATCAAGAAAATAAAATAGTGCAGTACGAAAACTCACCGCCACATCCAACGCGTGGCTTTTCACCATTAGAAATTTCTCGAACCACCTAGAGCACACTGGAGAAACGAAAAACATCTACCGTCCAAATAACAAATCCAACGGCTTAAAAACCACCATACCGAACATTCCAGACATCAAACCACTCCTATATTAACACACTTCCATCAATGCAAATTCATATCAGTTTCAAAGAAATTTCAAAGTAAAAAAAGCACTTCCATTTTAATTCATTTTTTTCTTTACTTGTTCACACAACACAAACGCGATTTAGTAAGAGATTATGGCTGGAAAAGGTGAAGGTCCTGCAATTGGAATAGATTTAGGAACAACTTATTCTTGCGTTGGCGTTTGGCAACATGATCGCGTTGAGATCATAGCAAATGACCAGGGTAACAGAACTACTCCTTCTTACGTAGCTTTCACTGATACAGAACGTTTGATCGGTGATGCTGCCAAGAACCAAGTTGCTATGAATCCTACCAACACTGTTTTTGGTAAGTACTTTAAATTAACCTCTTAAACCTTCATTTTCCACTTAGTTTTTGTACATAAGGTAGAAAATAACATTCATAGTTGATAATCGATTTTGCATGGTTATGATGATTAACGTAGGCTTGATTTTGTTATTTCAGATGCTAAGCGGTTAATTGGAAGACGATTTAGCGATGTGTCGGTACAGAGTGATATGAAATTGTGGCCATTCAAGGTGATTCCTGGCCCTGGTGACAAGCCAATGATTGTGGTGAACTATAAAGCTGAAGAGAAACAGTTTTCTGCTGAAGAGATATCTTCCATGGTTCTTATGAAGATGAAGGAGATCGCTGAGGCTTATCTCGGTACAACGATTAAGAATGCTGTTGTTACTGTGCCTGCGTATTTCAATGATTCGCAGCGTCAGGCTACAAAGGATGCAGGTGTGATTTCGGGGCTGAATGTGATGAGGATCATTAATGAGCCTACTGCTGCTGCTATTGCTTATGGGCTTGATAAAAAAGCTACAAGCACTGGTGAGAAGAATGTTCTTATTTTTGATCTTGGTGGTGGAACTTTTGATGTTTCACTTCTTACTATTGAGGAGGGTATTTTTGAGGTGAAAGCTACTGCTGGTGATACGCATTTGGGAGGTGAGGATTTTGATAACAGAATGGTGAACCATTTTGTTCAGGAATTTAAGAGGAAGAATAAGAAGGATATTAGTGGAAATCCTAGGGCTCTTAGGAGATTGAGAACTGCTTGTGAGAGGGCTAAGAGGACACTTTCCTCTACAGCTCAAACCACCATTGAAATTGATTCATTGTTTGAGGGTATTGACTTTTACACTACCATTACCCGTGCTCGATTTGAAGAGCTTAACATGGATCTATTTAGGAAGTGTATGGAGCCTGTTGAGAAGTGTTTGAGGGATGCGAAGATGGACAAGAACAGTGTCCATGATGTTGTTCTTGTTGGAGGATCTACTAGGATTCCTAAAGTTCAGCAGCTTTTGCAAGATTTCTTCAATGGGAAGGAGCTTTGCAAGAGCATCAACCCGGATGAGGCTGTGGCTTATGGTGCTGCCGTTCAAGCTGCTATTTTGAGTGGGGAAGGGAATGAGAAAGTGCAGGATCTGTTGTTGCTTGATGTTACTCCTCTTTCGCTTGGTTTGGAAACTGCAGGTGGGGTCATGACTGTGTTGATTCCGAGGAACACAACAATTCCTACCAAGAAAGAGCAGGTGTTTTCGACCTACTCTGATAATCAACCTGGCGTGTTGATTCAGGTCTATGAAGGAGAAAGAACGAGAACTCGTGATAACAATTTGTTAGGAAAGTTTGAGTTGTCGGGTATTCCACCTGCTCCAAGGGGTGTCCCTCAGATCACTGTCTGCTTTGACATTGATGCCAATGGTATTTTGAATGTCTCTGCAGAAGACAAAACTACAGGGCAGAAGAACAAGATAACAATCACCAATGACAAGGGCAGGTTGTCTAAGGAAGAGATTGAGAAGATGGTGCAGGAAGCTGAAAAGTACAAATCTGAAGATGAGGAGCACAAGAAGAAGGTGGAAGCCAAAAATGCACTTGAGAATTATGCCTATAACATGAGGAACACACTCAAAGATGAGAAGATTGCTTCCAAGTTGTCGGCGGATGATAAGAAGAAAGTTGAAGATGCTATTGAGGAGGCTATTCAATGGCTTGACGGAAATCAACTTGCAGAGGCTGATGAATTTGAAGATAAGATGAAGGAGCTGGAAGGTATTTGCAATCCTATCATTGCTAGGATGTACCAGGGTGCTGGTGGTGAAGCTGGTGGAGCTATGGATGATGATGGTCCTACTGCTGGCAGTGGAAGTGGTGCTGGGCCTAAAATTGAGGAAGTCGATTAAGCAAAACTAATTAAAACTTCGGTCATGGGATTTGGTAGTTTATGTTTTGTCAAGGTCTTTTGAATTAGTATCATAATACTCTATTTTGTATGTGGTTCTATTAGGTAGTATATGGAACTATTATCTAGGTTTTCAATGTAACTTCTTTTCCTATTTTAATGTGAATTTTGGTTTTTATTCCTCATTTTTCTTTTTATGATAATTGCTCATGGTTATGGATCTCAAACTAAGTTTCAATTGTTCTTTGATCAAATGGTAACAACTGGGTAGGTTTGCTGGAATTGAAATCCGTAAGAAGTTTGCATTGAGGAGACGGTGTTAGCTATATTTTTTAAATTGTAGCTGGTAGGTTCAAGAACTTGCTGGAAAAAAAATGATCAATTCTGTTGGCTGGAACTAGACTTCGGTTGGCCTATAGTTTGAAGGTGTTATTTGATGCAACTGAGTTTAGGAGGCCTTATGTTCCTTCCGGTTTGGAAGGGGTGTCCAATAGCACCCTCTGCATGGTTTTGCAGTACTTGTATATTTTTGCAGTGTTTTTGTTGTTGTTAGTTTTTGTTTTGTTTTGTGCTTGTTTTGACCTCCTGCTATAAAGTTATAAGGCCTATGGCAATCTCATTTGAACAAACACTTCCATGGGAAGTCACATGACTTCTCACTTGTATGGGCCTGTTTTTAATTGATAAAGGCCCATTTTTACATTATAAATTTGCACACATTAATATAAAATGAAATAGAAAGCATGTGCTGGTTAGTATAAATAAATATATCTATGATTGATTTATTCTTTGAAACAACACATAAGGTTTTCCAGTAAATATTGCAAGATAACACTCCTAACACACATGTAACCGTTGAATGTAAAGTTGAACGTGGTAAGTTAACACTCCAACACATATAATAAAAAAATTATAGTTTTTCGACAAACATAGGATATAGGGTATTGTAAGTTAACGCGACGAAACTTTTGGTTAGAATTTATTATTATTAATCCAATTTCTTAGAATATTTAAAAATAGGACAGATTGATAAAAAAGTAAATAGAAAAAATAATCCAATTTATTATTTCGATCCGCAGGAAAGGATATACGTCGAAATTAGATTAATTTAATTAACAGAAAAATAGAAATGCAAAAATCAAATGTTTGATATTAGAAGTCATGATAGGATGAATTTTTCTATTCTTTTTAGAGATATATCTTTTATCTTTATACTTATTTTAAAGATATTTGAAAATCAAATGATTTGTCTTTGGAACTTAGAATAAATCTTCTTTTTGGAGGAGAAGAGTAACCATTGATTTCTAGAAACAATAAGATTTTATTCAAAATATCGACGGATTCTTATAGAGTTCAAACCAAAAAAATATTGAAAAGAGAAAAAAATACACTATTCAAATTTTATTTCTATCTAATTAAAATATCAGAATAATAAATATAGTTCTGATTTAATAAATTAGATCCACTTATTTTTTTTAGAATCTTTCTCCTTATTGTATTTGAAGAATTCAAAATAAGAGTATATGTCAAATAAAACAAATAAATAGAAAAGAATGCTATTTTTCTTTTTAACTAAAATGAGTTTACTTTTTTGAATTTGAATGATAACAATAACTTAATAGATTTAAATTTTAGATTAGATTTTTTATAATGAAATTCAACTATTCCTTAGCTTTTTATTTTATTTTATTATAAACAGAAACTTTTTATAAATATCAAGAATATTTGTATATCTTCATTCAAATAGAAATACTATTGTTATTATTTTTTGATAAAAAAAATCCTTACTATGACGCTTGTTTTGGTCTGGGCCCAGCCTCGCGGTCCAGCCCAATAACGCACATGACCCATTAAGTGGACTAGCCCGACCGGGCGCACGCGCCCCATAGGACGGGCAGGGCACGCTCCCCGCCGGGATGGACGACGCGTCCGATAGCGTCTCAACATCCTCTTTTGTCGGCCGAACAGGGCACACCCCGGTCCGTCGAGCAAGACCTTTAGTTCCTCCACATCCTCGCGTGCTCCCCTCCGCGGGGAGAACAACCTGCCACCGAGGAACCTCCCGAGCTCCCCTCCGCGGGGAGAACAACGTGCCCGGTGCACGTTCTCCACGTGCTCCCCTCCACGGGGACACGTCATCAACCAACTGCCCACCTCCGAAAGAGCAGGTAAAACCCACTTTCCGGAGATCAAGGAGCAGTTGGACTAGGGCGAAAACCACGTCCTGGTCTTCACTACGCCACGTAAGCCCACCTCAAATGACCGTTGGCCCAGCGCTGAGGTCTCTCTATAAATGTCCTCTTCCTCAAGAGGGTCAGGTAATTTCACATCTTGTCCCTTTTCTGTACTTTGCTCTCGCTCTGCCAAACTCCTTACTTTGCCATCAGAGTGTTTTGCAGGTACACCCCCCTTTCTCCTCCTCATCATCGGTGAACAGGTAGCAGTCCAACAGCGTGTGGCCAGCCCGTGATCCCCTTCTGATCAGGTCAGATCAACGCTACTCTACTGCTGAGTTAAAAGGGCGTAATTTGAGTTAATTTCTAAATATATAATCAGTTAATATGAATATGAATATGAATATGAGTTGAGTACATCTATTTTAAATATTTTTGAATCTTTGATAAATAGATTTTATCATGTCCCTTAACTCAATTCTTATTGATCTTCATCCTTTTTTTCCTCTATTTTCGGATTCATTCTCGTTTTTTTATTTTCTAACTTCGTGTGAAATAGAAATATATCTAATTCAATCTTCTTAATACTGAATGAAAGTGAAAGAAATAAGGTGTTAATGCTCTCCTGTTCCAGCAAATCAATTATTTTCAGAAAGGATTCTATGTTTATTTTGGTTTCTTTCACATTATTTCGTTTTATTTTGTATTTTGTTGAATTCTAGATTGGTGATTGGAATGAACCATTTCGAAATCGAAAGGATGAATCTAAAAATTGTAAGAAATTCTGAAAGATGGGAAGATCCTTCTGATCGAATCATTCTATTGAAAATTTTTAAAAAAACTGTTCATGCTATGAATATTGTAGAATGGAGATCAGGCAAGGCCACCCTCGTCGTCTAGCGGTTTAAGACATCTCTCTTTCAAGAAGGCAACGAGGATTCAACTTCCCTTGGAGGCAGGGTACTATGAAAAGAAATAGATCCGGGATTATCAATAAAGACTAAATCGAATTCTTCCTGGTTCGATGCCCGAGCAGTAATGGGGACGAACTGTAAGTTTTTGACAATATGTCTACGTTGGTCCAAATTCAGCTCGGCCCAAAAATAAAATATTTACGGATTCACCGTGAAATGATAGAACCCATTTGATGTTCTCTTAAAATCACCAATGGGTTCAGATACACACGATTAGAATCTCGAGTCCTATGTGTTTTTTTTCCATATTACTTACATATTTTTTCCATAAATTAGGATTTTGAAAAATTCCTATCGGGATCTGTACGTTTAAAGTCTAAGAAAAAGGTTAAAGTTAAAAAAAATAAAAAAAACTCTTTTTTGTTTCTTTGATTTCTTGATTCATTTTTTTAAAATCAAGTTGACAATAACGAACGGATTGCGATGCGAGTCATCCATGTCGATAAAGTGCAGACCCATCCAAATAGGAATATATATAAAAGTAAGCCCCTTTATTTATACAGGGGTTTGAATCTCAAATAGAAAAACAAAGAGTTTGGATGAAATTGTAAGAATACATATGTATACTATACGACCTTTTCCTTGGGATTGTAGTTGAATTGGTCAGAGCACCGCCCTGTCAAGGCGGAAGCTGCGGGTTCGAGTTCCGTCAATCCCGATGGATACAAATCCAAAAAATATCAATGGATTTCGTGTATGAAAGGAAATCAAAAAATATAATTTCTAACGGGTATCCCCTTTTTTCTTTCTTTTTTAGTTTTAGGGAAAGGTTGGGACAAAGAAAGAAAAAGGACTTTTGGATTGCATCAGAAAGTCATTTTCTTATTTGGTATGTGTTGTAAATCAGATGTTTTGGAACAAAGTATAAATGATTTCTTTATGATCAAGAAACACGCAAGGGTTAAGGTTAACAAAGAAAACAAGGTAAAACAACAAGGAGCAACAAGGATTGGTTGTAAACCGTTATTCTTTCCTTTCTCTTAGAATAAGATTACAATTATACAAGAATAATAAAGTAACCCCTCTCACTTAAAATTAGGATTTTATCTTTCTATTTTTCCTTATGCTAAGATTGAGAAACTAGCATCCTATTTATAAGAAAAATAACACACTAACCTAATGAGCTTTTTAACAATTACCCATTACAAGCTAACTTAGGGTACAAGCTAACTTAAACAATTGGGCTTACAAGCAAGACCCAATTCAACATGCTAACAAACTTAGCAATATGGATTAATGCATGTTAGAACAAACTTCGACTACAACACACATTACTTCGACAGCAGCATGCAAACATACTTCGACCTCATGCTTAATTTCTGTTGAACCAAAAGCTACCCTTTGACCATACTAGAGTTTGATCCAACATCTCACAAATCTCCACGTTGGATCTAACTCTATAACATCAAGAAACTAGCTTTCTTCATGCAGCTTTATCAACTGCATACAGTGGAAAAACTTGCAACTGGGCAACATCTTGGTAATCATATCAACAACATTATGATCTGTTGAAACCTTCAGCACTTGGACTTTTCAACGCTCGATTACCCCTCTGACGAAATGCAGCTTCACATCAATGTTCTTGGTTCACTCATGATAAGCTAAATTCTTCAACAGATGTATTTCACTTTGGCTATCACATTTAACAATGATAACTCGACCTTGAAGTTTCAGCTCCTTTGTAAAATCTTCAAGCCACAATGCTTTCTTCACAGCTTCAGTTAGGATAATATATTTCTCTTCAGTGGTTGGTAAGGCAACAAACTTCTGATGTGTTGCTTTCCAACTGATTGCTGTCCCAAACATAGTGAACACATATCCAGAAATAGATTTTCTGGAATCCATACAACCTG